GAATGGATCAAGAAAATGTGGTATATATACACAATGGAATTCTAAGCCAACTTCTTTGTATTCCCCCAAACTTCTCGTGTTTTTGTAATAACTTTATACTTTCATTTACACTGGTTTCCCAGTGTTGAATACTTTATACCCACACATACTGCTATATGCTTGATCTTCTTTTAAGATGCTATCTAAACAGTCCTTTATCTCTGAAGCCTCTAATATTCATGTCTGTCTACCCTAATAAGTGTTTTGGCTTCTGTTTGCTTTCATAGTACTTTTTCATTACTTTTGTTAGCATCACTTACAAAGGACAATTACAAAGTACATGTGCCATTTCTCTTTGTAGGCCCCATGACAATGCTTGGAACATCTGAGATTTGTCAGAAGTGTTTGCTGAATTAATGCATAAATATTACTAGGGACATTACAGAAATATCCCGAGCTCCTGGATTCAGAAAATTTTTATATATGCACAAACCCAGACCAAGCAGTCATTTGCTTAGATAGCCTCTGGAATTTTCTCAGGAAGGGGCCTCGCTAAGATTAGTTCAGGACCATTGCCATCGGCTATGATGGTGAAACTGGCCGTCTTTCCAACCCACCTGGAAAAGCTTAATTTTCTGTGTTCTCTAAATCATTCAAGTCACAACTTCCTAAGGAGGTCTTTGTTTTGCAATAACTATTTTCCCTCTATGGATTAGCTCTTTTTCTTTGTTTAACTGAAAGTTTGCATTTATACAAACTATGACTTAGGAGATGCAGGATGACTTATTTGCTCTAAGCCTCATGTGAGGAAGTTGTATAGAAGAGAAGATCCTGGAGTACAGACACCATACTTTCCCCTGGTGCCTCTTGGTTTGGTTCTTCTGGATTCCTGGCTCTTCAGTAGTTGTCATTGTGATTGTGAATGCTGGTAGTTAGCAACAGTTAGGTCTGTGGGAAAGCAGCTAGCCTCTGTTATAAGCTGAATGTCTAGGCTTCTTCCAACTGCTTTCTGTGAGAAACCCTATCTTGAATCCACAAATGTTTCCTATGCTATTAAAAGGAAAGGAAATTCTCATAGAATAGTGAGCTATTCTCTAAGACAATTTAGTTCTGAAGCCGATAGAGTATTTTGCTTATTTAAGAACTCAATACTTTTTTAGCCTTAATGATGTTGTTTTCAGAAACATAAACTTGATGTGTAGATTTTTTAACTCCTTATAAGAGTTTTCCTTATGTGGTAAATTGCCATTTTTCAAATTTTTTAATTCATATATATATATACACAGATATGTATATAATATATATTTCTGCAATTACAATTTGTTAGCTATTTTTCATAATGAGGAAATTTTAGGGAAGGTTAAGGATACTTCCAAATGTTCTTTTGATATTGTAGTCTTTCATATCTTTTAGAAGTATTGACTTTAGCCCAAACCTAGGTTGGAAGTTCAAGTGATAGATACTTTCAGTGAAAAAGGAAATAATCTTGAGAAATACTTTCTGTCCAAGGTTTCAGTTCAATATTTCAATATTTTATCAAGAAAGCATCTTTCTATTGAGTGCTTCCATAAATTCTTTAGAAGCTGTATGTGGTATAATAACTACAAAAAGAGGAGAAACCTTCAACACACCCTTATGGAGTGTCTCTGGTTTACAATATTGCTTTTTTTTTTTTTTTAACTAACGCTCTGTGATAAGTTGTGGTATTATATCCTAAATCTTGCCTTTTCAGGATGTTAGTTGTTCAGACTGGAGGGAGAAGCCAACTTTCATAGGCAAATAGGTTCGTTTTTGCTTTTCATTGACTGCCTAATTAAGTGGGGTGATATCCTGGGCATAGTTCAGGTAGCAACAAGGTAGTTTTTAAGTATCACATATTTAGAGAATAGGAAATAAATAGGTAAAAATAGAACCTGGGAAAGGGAAAACCTGGGAAAACATTTGCCCATAATGATTGTACAAAAAACCTGGACACTGAAAATTTGTATCATATTAAAAGTCACTGATGTTGAGTCGGATCAGATAGCAGGTCCTATTCAACGTGGGTTCAAACTTTGATCTCCCTGGATAAGTCTGTTCTTCCTAACACTTGGTTCATCTGATCCATCATTACTAGTTTAAGATATCCTCCTTCATTTTTCAGCTCACACCTCCTGGAAGGGACAGGGGAAAAAATGTGGTGCCTTAAAGCCTTTTAAAAATGTTCCTCTACCTACCATGCAGTTTTATACTATGTAGTGTACTTGAATATCTGGAAACATTCCTTATGAGTCCTAAAGGTATTCTGTATAATTGAGTGGAGTAATGTAGAAAATATGAGATGTGGGAAAAGGTCAGTACAGAGTACTTGGTGAAGGTTGGGCCTGAATCCTGTTCTTAGGAGAAGATAGAATTTAGTGAAGCAGAAGATTGTAAGGCACATTTGCTAACACTATGGCAGAGCACACGAGAGGAAGGCATTGGGTATGTCCCAGAGAGCAGCGACAGTATGGAGAAGAGATATAAAATGTTTCTCCAAACTGCAGAGTCTAAAAAAATCCACCACTATGTCTGTCAGTCTGTAGGAGATGAAAACTTCCCATTTACAATGAAATATGCATTTGTAAATGAAGAAAGGAAAAGCAAGTCAACTATTAGGTTTTGCTAGAGGTAGTGAGAAAGCTACAAACGGCAAAAGCAGATCTCAAATGTTAATCACCTGTGGCACAGTAGTTAACTTAGAATAATATTGAAATGTTTTTGCATCTGACATTCTCCACAAACCTGTCTCCTTTTATGTGTATGCATGCCAGTATATAAATTGCTGAATCCATGTCAGTTGTAAAGTAATGGCACTGAGGGCATCATAAATTACCATGGTGATCCTCAGGAGAAGACACTGTCGTATCTGAATGAGTGTTTCACTTCCAGAGTAATGTATGCCTTCATCTGGCCCAGCAGTCAGCATATTGCCCTGTGTTGATGGATATTGTCAGCTGGAAGCTACACTACATTTCACTGCACAATAAACATGGCTGTCAAATCCATATAAAGTGAAATCAATTTATCCTGTATGGTCAGTGCATTTTAAATGAAATTAATGTACTGTGGGTACGGTGGCAAAAAGGTAGCATATTAGTTATGCATCTTAGGATCCGAGACGTTTCATGTAAGGCATCATTCTGTCTAGTAGGTCTAAAAGAAGAGTTGTTTATAAAGCAAGATTTTTTTTGCATGATCTCCAGAAAGTGGCTTCTCTGATCTCCTTCCTGTTTAGAAAAACATTTCACAATATTAGCTATTTCCATCCTTTTATCCTGTCTTTTTTGTTATTGTTGTAAATGATGATCATATTTTTGAAATAATAGCACCCTTTAATGTCCTAATTTATTACTGGCTTTGACACATACAAGCTACATAAGCAAGGTATCTGGAAATAGGAAAGAAAGGCTAGAGATTGATTAGGTGATGTTGTTCCCGTGTAACTTCACTGAACTGAAAGTTATAGTAGATAAACAGAAATGTTGGGTTTAATGTTTATTTTGCTTCTAAACTTTTGTGAGTAAGATTTCCAGTGCATACAGCTGGTGGCTGAGGCCCTCCGACCAACTACTTCACATTTTACTGTAGAATGTCTCTATCTATAAGGAGATATTCAGGATATTCTACATGGCAAAGCATACACTGGTGTGCTATACTGGTCAGAAGTATCAAAACAAAGAGAGGCTTCCTTTTTCCTTCCTTCTTTCATTTCTCCCTCCTTTTCTCCCTTATTCCCCACTCTCTTCTTTCCCACTTCCATGCATATACCAGACACTTCACAGATCCAAAGCATACAATAATGAATGAGCCTCATCTCCTGACATATCCGCAAGGAGCTTTCAATTACTATGCTACTAAATTCAGCCCTTCACAAAGCATAAAATACAAAGATTTACATAGAATTTGATAGATGGGGAAAAAAATCTCTTAAACAACAGAAAAACACATCAAGACGCTTGAGATAACTACTCCTTAATCTAATTCTTTTGCATATGCACTGAAAACCAAATAACATTTATTGAGCACATAATTATTATCCATTATGTGGGGATTCCTGGGTATACAAGTATGGGAGTAACACCATCTCTCATGATCTCATATTCTTGGAGATGAAGTGGAAGGATCAGAGGCAGTCAGTGAGGGAAACAATAAACACTTTGGGGCCTGGGGCCTGGAGCATGAAGATGAGGAGTGAGTGTATGTTGCCTGGAGAATCTCATTGCAAATGCACTTCTTTTGGCCCAAACAACCTTCCCATCTGTCATTCTTCCTCTCTCCCAGTCACCTGCTGATTCTTGTTCATCTTTCCAGACTCAGCTGGGCCATCATATCTTCTGAGAAGCACTGGTGACCATCCTGTCTGGTGCTTGTAACATTTACCACACATCTTTTGTTTGAATGGTTTGCTTCCTTTCCAAACTGCAAGTGCCTCGAAAACAGGAGCTGCTTGATTCACTTAAATCCTAGCTCATCATTGCTTAGTTAATATTTTTTATTTCATTAACTACCTCATTCACAAAACACCAACAGTTGAATCGGACTTGTAGGACAAATTGGACTTAAGCATCAAGCAATAGGAAAAAGGTCTCCCAAGCCTTGAGAAGATCACAGGCCAACACAAAATACTGTATAGAATTTTTGGCAAATGATGCTAAAATGGACTAAAAAGGCCTGCTTTTGAAGAAATAAATTATAGTAGCAAAGTTTACCAGAGAGTAACACCAGCCATTACTTTAACATCATTAAATGATATGACAGTTAATGATTACCATGAAAGTAATCAAGGTATATAAAAACATGCAAAATTAATTCTTCCCAGTGTCTCTTTGAGGGCTTTGTCAGCATGTCATGTAGAGTTAACATCTGGAACTGTCTTCTGCTTCCACAAGACTGCATAGAACAGAAGAGGAGGGAAGCAGTGGAGCCAGGCAGCAAGCTGTTGCATTAGCCATATAATAATGCTTTGCACCCATCTTGTTCTTCCTGCCCTAACACTACAGGAAGTAAAGCAATGAATGGCTCTGCAGCTAAACTACAGCAGTATTATTGTTGGCCAACAGGAGGTGCCACTGTGGCTGAAGCACGAGTCTACAGGGATGCCCGAGGCCGAGCCAGCAGCGAGCCACACATCAAGCGACCAATGAATGCATTTATGGTTTGGGCGAAGGATGAGAGGAGGAAAATCCTTCAAGCCTTCCCTGACATGCACAACTCCAACATTAGCAAAATCTTAGGTAAGTGCAGTGGCCAGTGGCACAGCTAGTGCTAGTGTGTTCTCTCTCTCTCTCTCTCTCTCTCTCTCTCTCTCTCTCTCTCTCTCTCTCTCTCTCTCTGTCTCTGTCTCTCTGTCTCTCTCTCTCTCCCCCTCCCTCTTTCTCTCTCCTCTCTTTCTCTTCCCCCCAGCCTCTACCCCACCACAAGAGCGAAAAGCAGGGGCATAATTGGGCTTCAACTGTAGGTGGCAGGAGTCAAATGAAATACAGCCAGTTGCCACAACAGCCTTTTGTTACCATCTTGTTACCTCTCCCACCACCCGACATACAGGTTTATGAGTTACTGCATACATAGAGCAGGTGGCTAAAACTTTCTTTTAAGGGCAAAACTATTGCCATGGCAAGGCTAACGGCAAATCTCTAAAGTACTCCTAGTAATATGTTAATATCGTGAATTCAGCCACTCCTGCAGGGACATTGCTAAACAGGAATCTTGAGGGCAAGCTTTATCTACCCTCTCATTCAGGCTTTTAAAATTTATAAGTTGCTATGCAATCTTGGAAAAACTCAAAGACTTCAGTTTTCTGTTCTAGCATTGTTGGTTTCATATGTTCCCCTGCAAGCATTTATGAAGGATGAGGGGTGAAACCCAAAATAGTGTGAAATTCATGAAGTGCAGAACAATGCCTCTAATGATAACTTTAAGAGTTGCAAAGTAAAGCTACATTTACTTTAATAAGAGATGACGAGTTGAAATTTCATAGCAGTGAGTTGAACACACAGACCACAGGGCAGAGGCCCACTTTGTGGTAAATTGCCAGCGATTCTCCTGTTTCTCAGGATTAAACTCAAGCCTTGTTCTATTAGTGTAAAGCTTGCCTAGCAGAGATTATATAGTTTGGAATTATTGTGCACAACATATTGAACATATTTTATTCAACATGCAGCATTACAGTCAACATGTTTCCTCTTTAAAAAGGAAAAACACAGAAGGCACTGTTCTGTTTAAGCTGTCACGATGTGACAAAATTGCAAAGAGAGCAGTTTCAGAAGCTGAAAAACATTACAGACTTAAACTGTGGCTTTAATTTTTTAAATGTTTTGTTCAAAAGCAATAAATATTTAACCTGAGTAAATATCGGTGATATGGACATACACAAATACATGTGTTTTGTCGCTACATAAATAATTTAACTTGATTCTGAGACATTTCGAGTCACTGACCTCTAAGAAAATTTAAAACATATACATAGATCAAATAGTGGTGAAACATTCAAATACGCATTTTTCTCTTTTTTTCATTTTGACTTTTGAATTTTAAAATAGATCCTAACTGTCATGACAATTAAGTGATGTTTTATTTTTAAGATTTTAGGGATGTTATTCTTTTGAATTTAAGTATATTCTAAATCAAAATATCCCTAATGGACAGATTATAATTTTTTTCAAACTAAAAGTCATTCTAAAAGAAATCAGCATTATCTTTTTATTTGTCTCCTGCCATTTTGTTAATAATATTAGTAAGCTTTCAGATGGGAATAGACCCTCTGTGTTTCGGGTTGGGCAGCCGTGAGGAATCTATATTATTGATATGCATTCTGTGAAAAATGATTTGGAGGATAGCAAGTCCATTCATTAAGTGTCAACTTTTATACACAAGCATTTCAAGAGTGCCAAGAATCCTCAACTGGGGCTTTCAGCTGCTGGGAAGCCAGCAGCACAGAGACTGATCTGCACAGACGATTTGCACAACTTGTGCACAACAATCAGGAAAGAACAGGGATGGATGTGCTGTTAAAGCAGACCAGCATATTGCTGGCTACAGGGAATATTTGTAGAACGTTTTCATTTGTTTAGGTATGAAAAATCTCCACGGAAGAATAGCTAACATCCAGCCTGCACAGCTGTTACCGCTTTATTCACCAGTAAGGCACAAAAATGCAACTTGATACATCTAAAAAAACACATCCCTTCTTTGTCAAGTGTTTAGATGATTCTTTATAAACAAAATTAAAGACATGAATACTTTTCCTTCTTCCTGTGTAAATCATATTTAAAATTTTTGTACATTTATTGGTATAGCTTTGGGTGGACATTTATAGTACTTGAAAATGGTATATATATATTTATATATAAGTATATAAATATAAATATATATATTTCCAACTGGACCTTCCTGTCTGAAGTTATAACTTCTTAAGTAGAGTTAAGTGTGTGTGTGAGTGCATGTATGTGAGTGCATGCTTGTGCTGATACTAGAGTTTGAAATCAGAGCCTCACACTCTTGCTTAGTTTTTCACTGACAGCTGGTACTCTATTACTTGAGCCAAACCTCCAATCTACCCCGATCTAGCTTTCTTACCTGCTCCCCCTCAGTCACCCAGTTAGAGAATCTCATGGACTTTTCTGCTCAGACTGGCTTGGGACCACAATCCTTAGATCTCTGAGTTGCATCTGAGTTGCAAGGATTACAGGGATAAGGTATCAACACCCACATCCATGTGAGTTGAGTTTTTAGAATTGCCCCCCCCCCACTAACAGGGCAATGCCCATTTTTATATATGGAAGAATATCAATATGTGCTGACATCAGAAGTTAGTTTCACCAGACACACTTTGAGTGTGGGAGATGTTTGAATTTCTAGACCCAAGCAAGCTTTTCCTGTGAATGCAGTCATGCACAGAAGCATGCTTAGGAAGTTTTAGACTGTTACCCTTTTTAAGAGGAGGAGCAGATGAATTGGAACTTTGGTGTAGAAAATGATCTTTAAGCAGCAAAGATGTATTTAAAAAACAATCTATTTAGCACAGAGATAGAGCACCTGCCTACCATGTACAACACCCTGGGTTCAATCCTCAGTAACACACACACACACACACACACACACACACACACACACACACACACACACACACACACCACTCAATGGTATATGGTAATAGGAGCTACACAAAGTAAAGGCAAAAAAGTGGTGTGAGGTCAGTCTAGTTGTATTTGCCACTTAAGGCTGTTTTCTGTCTAGGCTCTCGCTGGAAATCCATGTCCAACCAGGAGAAGCAACCTTATTATGAAGAGCAGGCCCGGCTTAGCAAGATCCACTTAGAGAAGTACCCAAACTATAAATACAAACCCCGACCGAAACGCACCTGCATTGTCGATGGCAAAAAGCTCCGAATCGGAGAGTATAAGCAACTGATGCGGTCTCGACGACAGGAGATGAGGCAGTTCTTCACTGTGGGGTATGTATTTCTGCATGGAGCCACCTGGGCTCTGTATTCCTGAAACTGCAGGATGGCTCCTGATAGTGTATCTGGGAGGGAGATTCAGGAAGGGAGGGGGTTGTGACATGTTGGGGCTTGGCTATGGGAATCTTTGCTCTGTCACAAGTACACAGCTTTGCAACATGGCTCCAGCTCAACTCAAAACAAACCTGTCCCAGCTTACTCTCCCCATTGACAGTCCCTATCATTGTCTTCCAGCTAATCTCAGCTCCTCAGTCCCCACACATGGTTTCTGGTAGTTTATTTAGACGGACACATGGGGGGAAAATAAAAACCAACTTTAAGAAAATCTCCAGAAGCTTCCTGGCTTCTCTGGGTGGTGCTTCTGACTCTAATCACAATAGTCTGCTTTTGTTGTGGGATCTACCACAAGATAATTGGCCTTGACATTGGTTAGAAGACCTCATTTTTGGCATAAGATCCAGAACTCCTGTTGCAGTAAATTATTCTGTGGTAGAAGCAGCAACAATATGGATTTTCTTGCTTAAATCAGAAACTAGACATGTTTTTGATATCTTCAAGTCTGATTTCATGTCATTTTGTTTAAAAATTAGGTAATAGATTTCTGGTATAAATTTCGACTTGGCTGACTGGCTGTCTACATTCAACAGAGGCCCCTCATAACCACAGTAGTCAGGATAAGTGGGGATGCTGATGCCTGTAGATTCCAGCACACTCTAGGCCTAGCAGTACGGTGGGGGGGGGGGGGGGGGGGAGAGGGGGCTGGAACCAGAGGACCATTCTGGAGGCCCTGGCTGGATTATCTGGAATCAGAGTGGGAATTGTGAGGGGAGAGGGGTGAGAGAGAGGATGAGAGAGAGAGAGAGAGAGAGAGAGGAGAGAGCACAGAAAGGAAGCAATATTCACTGTTGACACAAAGAACTGAGGGCTGTGTGCTGGGCCTGGCAATTAGAAAGTGTCATTTAAAGATGGGAAAAGGGAGACCACATGGAATTAAGGAGCTATTCTTTGCTTAGGGATTCTCCAAAGAAAATACACTTGGACAAAGAGCTGATTTCAGAAGCATATGTTTAAAAGGATAAAATTAACTTGAAATACAGAAAACCCAACAAGCCAGTGAAAGTACTCTGGGACCCTAGTCTGCATAGTATATTAGGATCCTAGAAAGAAAAGTGAGCTTTCCAAGTCTTAACTACTAGGAGTCAAATACTGACCAGTTCACCTGTGAAACGAAACAGGCAATAGTCCACACCTTGTGAGATGTCAGGGAAAACTCTGAGGCACGGCTTTCACAAGCACGTGTTACACTGCTTGGTACAATGCTCTGAAAGGCAGACTGTAACACTGCCATTTTGAGTTCATATATATCTCTATTATGGTGAAACCATGTTTTATATCACGTTGAATAACCAGTGAATTTCTTTATACTGAGGCAGAACTTTCTAGGATATAGAGAAGCATAAGACATTTTATTGCAGATTCCAAAATATTACTAATTTGAGACATATCAAAATGGTCATCAATTTCCTCTAAGTGTTTGCTGTTTTTAAAGGAATTCTTCTAACATTAAAGTACAATGAACTATAACTTAGACTATTCACATGGCAGAAAATCAGTGAAAATATTGACTCAGTGTGTCTGTTCAGTAGAATGGCCATAGGTAACAAAATGCAAATTGGAAACTGTGATAAATGTCTTCCTTTAATCCTGTTAGTATGTCCCTGATACGGTGTTATCTCTTGAACTCAGAATCAAAAGCTTAAACTTGGTATCTTCTGAAAGTCCAGCCTTTCTCACAAATCACATCACCTGTATAAATACTTAGAGAGTTTCTTTCACCCTGTTATAAATGGCCGTCAGTGGTAATATTTCTGTTTTCTGCTACTATGTGATTTTTCTGCTAATGTGAATGATAATACTAGTTAGTTTTGTTTCCTTTAGAAAAGAATATATTAAAACAGCTCTGGATCAAAATGTCCCAACACATACCAGTGCTTATAAGATATATAATGAAAATAACTTGAATAATATCTACCATTTGTGGTGTGTCTACACTGTAATCATATAGTCTTCCAAATAAGATAATGGAATTGAGGTGGTAGTGCCTGTGTAAAAGATCAAAGATTCAGATTCAGATCCCCACCTCTGTCTAGCTCAACAACAAAGAAACAAACTCTTTCACCATGTTTCCACAATGTACACCTCAGGGCCCTAGTCATTAGCAAAGCTGTGCCATTTGAACAAGGGCTCTCAGAACCTAGAAAAATGAGGCATGAGTAACATATGGTGCATAAAATGAGCTCTGGAAGGTAGTGACCAAGGCTTCCTGACAGTGAAGAGCCTGCTATAGAATTCTAAGTTAGGACCATGGAATGAAGCTATAGAATTACAGGCAATGACCAGAATGTTCTGCTTTTTAATCCCCAATATTAAACATTTCCCTCTACTTTGCTTTGGTAACATTTGCTGTACAATGCAAAGTATTATTTCCACTTATGGATTTGTATTTTTGTTTAAGTAGTTATATTTGATAGATTATTAGCTCCCTCAGCTTCATCTTTGGAAATTGATCTTCATTAAATGTGAAGTTATGACAAGAGGAGCAGGGAGAAAAACAAACAAAACTTTTCAACATTGCTATTGACTTCTTGTTGGACTAAGATCAATTTTTATGGATGATTTGGAAAAGACTTGCATAACTTCCAAGCCAATAAAACAGCATTAGCCAACATTTTTGTTCATTTTACTGACTATACAACTGTAACTGATGAGCTAAGATTTTTTAACTTAGCTATTATAAAATGGATTTGTCAATAACATGAGATAGATTTAGCTTTTACCTGGGATCTAAGCCCTTTAATTGGAAAATTAACTATTAGAATTTAGTAATAATCCCTATAAAATTAATGTGGAAATTATATTCTGTGGATTGCTATAGCTCCAGTTGTCCCTTTTCCTGAATAATTATAACTAAATGTCCTTTTTATTTGAAACTGCTTAGTAATTTAACTGTGAACTGGTGGAAAATTATTCAGGTACTCTAAATATTAAATTTGAGGTTTTTGTGTAATAGTAGTAAATTGTTGAATACTGAGCATATTCAGTATACTCTGCAAAGCGAACTCTACAGATTACTGAGGATATGTCAGATTGACAAGATAAGCTGTATCATCCCCCTTCCAGTGTTCAGAGATGCTACATAATTTGTTCAAGGCCACACAGCTAGCGAATGGCAGAACTGCGATTTAAACCAGGCTTATGTGAATGTGAAACATATGCCTTTTGCTATTTCACATCCCTCTCAATTAGAGCCTACAAATTGTTTAGAGCCTGTGAAGTAGAGTGGTGACGAGCACCAGTTCTAGAGTCAGACTGTTCTGGCTCGTTGCTCCATTTTCCTCTTCCTTGCTGTAGGATCTAACACATATCAATCTTTATTCCTCTGAACTCTCTACTTGCCCCTGGACAACTTACTTAAACTCTCTGCTTCCTAGTTTTCTCATATGCAGACTGAGAATGGCGATAATGACAGTAATGCCAATAAGGAAACTCCATCCTGAATCTCAAGTAACTTTATATATGAAAAGTGTTTAGAACAATGTTGCCAATTTAGAGACTGTAAGAACCTGAAGGGTTAGCAAACAATGGAACGTTGCTAGAAAACACATGCAGTTCCTTTACAATTGGCAAAAACCACCCTACACCCCAGAAATATTGTTGTGATTTGAACACCATGTGGTGATACTGAGCTCCATCCAGGACACCTTTATTTGCCTACCTTGGTTCTATGGGCATCCCTGACTTTTGTTTGGACATGCATGATTTGTAAAGCCTACTACTCCTATTTGTGAAATCTGCAGTGTTTTGACTTTGAAATTGATTTGCAAAGGAAGGAAAAAATGCTTTCTAGGAAAGTAGTTCCTGATAGACAAAGCTTGAGCATGCTGGCTCGATTTTTCCCTTTTGTTCATTGATTAGCCAGTCAGTTGGTAAGGGGTTATTTGGAATCAGCTAGATACCTAACTCCATACTATATTAATATAGCATTAAGCATTATTTCTGTATACATGAGATTTCAAAAGCCAGAAATACATGAATAGATTATTAGCAAATAACAGTGTGTTGCACACACAGAGAACATAGTGTATACCCTGTACAAATAGAATATAATCAAATGTTGATCTGATGCTATAGACAAAACCAAGTAAAACTGAGATTACTATGCAATAGGGCCAACCAGCCTTGGAGCGTCTTTGAGAAGTAGACTTGGGGTTTGGGAAAGTCAGACTGGCAGAAAAGAGATCTTTGTTTCCATATAATGGAGACTATGAGAACATTAGGGAAATGTGAGATGTTCAATTAAAAAATAAAAAAAAAAAGATGAGCTTCGGAATTTTCCCTGGCAGTAAAGAAAATGTAAGAGGATGAGTAGAGCAACATTTTGAAAACTCTAGACTTATTCAGCGATGTTCACTTAAAATTTCAGACCTTTTTCATATTGATAACCAAAGGTCAGTGTAAACCTTAGCTTATGATTTTGCAACCACAAAGCAGTTATAATTTAAAACAGCCTCAGCATTGTACATCCAGCAACTCCTAGAGTACTCGTTGCCTTCTGCTTTGGCTCCTGGAATGCAGGAGCCCTCTCCACCTCTCATGGGAACTGGTTCCTATATGGAACATTTCCCAATGACAGAAAGCAATTTTTGCCAAAGTAAGCCCCTCTGAGATCTTTTCTTGTTTATGAGAACAGATTCAAGCCTCTAAAGATGGTTATATTCATATCCTTTCCTATTACCCTCCTTTCTATTTATCTTATTTTAGAACATCTCTTCCTGTCTGGAATAGGTTTCCTAGAGTTTTGGCTTGTTTTTTTTCCCTCTCTCATTCACCTAGTTTATGAATGAATGAATATTTATTTATTCTATTCATTCAATGGGTGTTTATTGAGTGCCTTCTATCTTGCAAGCATTGTCTAGATTCTGGAGCTATTTCTCTGAAGATTCCTGTCCTCATTCTCATAGTGCATGTCAAGCAATCAAACAATTTTTACAAATAGTCATAAGTACTTTAGAAAAAAGGTAAAGCAAGGAAAGTGGCTGGAAGCTTCAGAGGATGGAGACAATGTTAAATAGAGTGGCCAGAAGAAAACCTCACTGAGAAGGTGAGGGCATTAGCATTAGACCCAAGTAGGTAAGGGGGCAAGCTGGGCAGGTATCTAGAAGTGAGCAGAGAAAACAGCAAGTGCCAAGGTCTTGCGGCGAAACTCTGCCTCACTATTCAAAGAGAAATAAAGAGGAGAGAATGCCAGGGGCATAGGAAAACCAGTAACAGATGTCAGAGAGATGACAAGCCAAATTGAATGAAAGATTGTAGGCCATTGTAAAAACTTTCAACTGGACTCTGAATGAGATGGAAAAATATTGAAGGATTATAACTAAGCAACACCATGCTGTCCTTTGACTTTGGTTTCAAAGAAGCACTCTAGCTACCGTTCTGAGACTTGGCTGAGAAAGGAATGGCCTGCAGGAAGTTCAGGCTCTTGCAAGAGATGGCAGCTTAGACCAGGAGTATAGGCCTGAAGGTGGTAAGAAATAGATGAGCTCCAGATACTGCCTTAAGTGTTAACCAACTATGTTTTCTGGTTACAGGATTTGAGGACTGTCCTGAGACAGTTCCTTGTCTGAGAAAAGTTAAGTAAACGTTATCTGAGCTGAGTATGGCTGTGTGAAGACCAGATATGTGGGAGAAAGATCAGTTCAGTTTTGCACCTGTAAGATCAAGGATGGTGTCCAGGCATCCAGATAAAAATAAGCATTTGTAGATGTCTGTAATTTAGGAGTGAGGTATTTTCCAGGTTTTAACTCAGGACCTTGCACTTGCCCACCTTGTTTGGAATTCTGCCACTTGAGCCACACTTCCAGGCTGGCTTTTTTTTTTTTTTTTTTTGTCAGTTGTGGGGCTTGAACTCTGAGCTTGGGCATGTCTTTGAGTTCTTCAGCTCAAGGCGAGCGCTCTACCACTTTGAGCCACAGCGCCACTTCCAGTTTTCTGGTGGCTAATTGGAGATAAGTGTCTCACGGACTTTGGTGCTGGGCTGACTTTGAACCATGATCCTCAGATCTCAGCCTTGAGTAGCTAGGTTTACAGGCTCCGGCGCCCAGCCGGTTATTAGATGGAGTCTTGTAGACTTTTCTATCAAGACTGGCTTTGATCTTCTGGATCTTGGTCTCCTAAGTTTCTATGATTTTAGTGCTCATTCTAGATAAGGTTTAATGTCATAAAACTGGGCAAAATCACCTGGGAAATTTAGGCCCTTGTACCTCAGAGACCAAGTCCTAAGGTGCTTCAGTTCTTTGATGCCTCAGCTAAAAGAAAAGTGACCAGCTATATCAAATGATGCTCACGGTATAAGTCAAGTAAGATGTGAACTGAAAACTGACACTTGGAGATTGTGTGGAGATTGGTGGTCTGATTCCAGGCTGTTTCATCATAGTGTTAGGAGTAGTTGAAATGAATTTAAGGAAGAGTTGAAAGGAAGGAAATCAGAAAAGTTGAACAATAGCTGGCGGGGATGTGAGCCAAGAAAGTTTTGTTATTTTCTTTTGAAAGGGGCTCTACTAGAGCTGGCGTGGTGGGAATGGCCCAGGGGAAAGGGAAACTTGATGATACAATGGAAGAGGCAATGGCTAGAGAGCCTCCTTAGTATGCAATAGTAAATAGTTTGAATGGAGCAGCAGAAGCATTCACCTTATATTGATTGGGTATGAACTAATTCTTAGGGGGACAGGGACTCTGATACAGAGGCAAGTCAGTGCACAAGTGGGAGCTTATGATTTGCTTCTTTCTGTCCCTCCATGAAATGAAAATCCAGGTCATTGGCTTGAAGTAACAAGGGAGACGAAGTTGGATATTTGAGCACTGAGCAAACATGAAATCATTGTCTAGAAAAGAAGGCAGAGCAGGCCAGGCGAATGTAAAGTATGATGGCTGGACAGCACCAGAAAATGATTTAAAATTCATGTTTGTAAACTGAGAATGGTGAGCATGGTGTTGTGTTTTCTCCAGCCAAGTTCATCTGTGTACCTGAACAGAGTAGGCAGAGAGCTATATTTAACTTGAGTCTTTTATCAGGTAAGAGAATTGAGAGTATGAGGGAAAGAGTAACCACAGAACTTACCACTGGGTAAAGAAGTGAGTGAGGGCCAACCACAGAGGGTACAAGTGAGAGCAGTGAACACAGGCTGGAGGATCAGGAAATTGTAGATCTTCATGGGGTGGGAGGACGCTGGGAAGATCTCATGTGGTGGCCAGACAGCAGAGTGTGTAAGATGAATAGTGAGTGACAGACAAGACCAGCTACATACAAGAGAGTAAGCACCCAAGACAAGGACAGGGCCAGATCAGCACCTCGTAGTGGAGGTCAAGAAATGGAGTGACGAGGTGGCAGAATGATCAGGACACAGGTGGTGAAGCTGTCAAGAATTATGGTGGGCAATGTCAGGGAGAGCCATAGTGGGTCTGGTGCTAACATCCTTAAGGAAGGAGTAGGGTATTCATGGGTAATACAGTCAGATGACACAAGATTTTTTTTTAACTGTACAGTATTCAAACTACAGTGAAGATAACACCCATCTGCTTACCAATGTCATTACAATGTCTCACACCACCAATCAATTTAAAACAATACTCTTGAGCACTTTAAAACCAATCTTACATGTCTTTTTGGTGAACTATAGTCATATAACTATATGTTATAACATTGTTTCTTAATGGCAAGTGCTAGCCAAACATTGCCATATTTGCCAAGTACAAAGAACTCTGCTTGTAGTTGCAAATTCATCAGCAAATCACTCCATTGTATTATTTAACCTCCAACCACAGCATTAGCTGATAGTCCACAGCATTGGACTGAGAGTCAGTGCTAGGACTCCCCAGGGGAACGCTTTTGTCATATTTTTGTCATTTACTTAGGATGCCAATGTCATTTACTTAGAAATTCTGGGGAATCAAGGGCCGGAGTCATAGAGAAGCTCATGTATATAGAGGTTTGCCCTCTGTTTTATTTTTTTATGTTTATTTTTTTCATCTACACAGGCAACAGCCTCAGATTCCAATCACCACAGGAACAGGTGTTGTGTATCCTGGTGCTATTACTATGGCAACGACCACACCGTCACCTCAGATGACCTCTGACTGCTCTAGCACCTCGGCCAGCCCAGAGCCCAGTCTCCCTGTCATCCAGAGCGCGTATGCTATGAAGACAGACGGAGGAAGCTTAGCTGGGAATGAAATGATGAACGGAGAGGATGAGATGGAAATGTATGATGACTATGAAGACGATCCCAAATCAGACTATAGCAGTGAAAACGAAGCCCCGGAGGCTGTCAGTGCCAACTGAGGAGTTGTCGTTTGCTGAATTAAAAAAAAATACTCTGACATTTCACCCCCCTTCCCCCCTACAAAAAAGTTCTTAAAGAGCCCGCATGCATTTGTGGCTCCACAATTACATCAGCAGAATGGTCTTAATTGTTTCGTAAAGTGTGAGACAGATTAAGTTTTCCCTGATTTTTCATGAACTTGAGTTTTTTGTCGTTATTGTTATTGTTGTTGTTGTTGTTTTTTAATTTAGGTGAAGACATATTAAATATGAGACACCAGGACTTGAAAACTTATCTCAACCCATAGCTGTCTTACAAGTCTTATATTTTTGTCTTACATTTTTTTTTTCCTTTTGGATGTTGATAAAGGTTTAAGTTACTGTTTTAGATGGGGTTAAACATTCTCACTCAGGTATGCTGTGCCGGCCTACAGATTGTGAATGTGTTTTTATTCTGAATTACTTTAGAAAACAACAAGATTTTGTATTGTGAAACAGGACAAGCCCACAGCGCGTGCAGCTGCATGTAGAGCATATTCAAAAGGCCTCGGAATTCCATTTTTTTTTTTCCACATGTAGAGTTAAACCTTGAATGTGCCAAACTTTTTCATAACTTTTGAATCTTAATATTTTAAAAGTCTTAAACGAGACACTGCAAAGTCTTAGACAATCTTTGGCATCTTAAAATAAAATAGCAAACCACACCTTCTTTTTTTTATTTTATTTTATTTTTCCAGAAAATGGTAAAGTACTCAGGAATCTGGAGACAAGATGTAAAGAATGCATGAGGTTGCCACAGTGCACGTATCCAATCGTGTTTGCCTCTTTCGTGCCATCAGTGCAGGGCGTGGAATGACACACACCAGACACCAATAAGGAGGTCTTCTCGGCCCGAGGCCACCTCTCACTACATCCATTTTCCCCTTTGCCTTTAACCCTGACATTCAAGCTTTGACACATTTTCTCTTAAATAATTTATTCATTCCAGAATGTCATGGGTCTACTTACTATTTATTTAAAAATTATTGGTGGCATTAATTTAATAATTTTTAACCCTCCTTCCCTGAAGAACTTTCAGCCCCCTTTTTTTTTTTTTTTTTTTTTAACCTCCCTCTCCTGCTAGATACAAGAGGTGAATGTCCCCAGAACATCTGGAAACATTTCGAAAACAAGATACTATCAAATACCTGCATTGTTGCTTTGAATGATGAGTGTACATCTGGTTTCAGGCTGTGTGTTGGAGTGAAGGGGTACAGTCTCACACTTAAATATGTATGCCCTCAAGGGTCACTATGACCTCTAATCTATTAGCAGAGTTCTCCCCCAGTTCACTTTGCAGAAAGCGATGGGTTGTGCAGCAGTGGCACTTCCCCTGAATTCCACTCAGCAGAGAGGGTCAATAGTGGTACCTGCTAAGTAGGAGAGTCTTGTAGCTCACCTGAAGCCCAACGCTCCTGGGCCCTGTGGGCAGGCTATAGAGGAGCTGTTATGGGATGGCACCTTTACACAGTTGCTTTTCCAAGCTGGCACATCTGGGGGGGGATCTTTGCAAAATTGCTAGGATGTAAGAAGCCATATGACAGCCTCAAAACAAAGATAAGAGGCAGATAGTCAGGAACCAGAGAATGAAAGAAAGCTATAAGGAAGGAGAAGGGGGAAATACATTCCCTATATGGTATGTTCCTACTGCTAACTCTGGGGAATGGACAGCGTGTGAGGCAGCAGACAAGTTCCTCTGTCTGATCCTTTTCTGAATGGGGGACCTGATCTCATGTGAACAAAATGAACTGCACTTGTCACTCAAGGCATGCTCCGGAGCATGCGACTTGGGCTGGGAGGCTGCAAGGGTCCACTCCTCTTCTCCTAAATGCAGGGAGCTCAGCTCTGCCACGCTTACCTTCCTGAACCTTCTTGATTGCCTCTAGGAGAGCCTCACCATGCAAAATGGGTCCGTGGGAGGGTGTCAGTGAAGGGGACAGTTTGCCTCATAGAAGATAACCCAGAAGCTCATCGCCAGGACATAGGAACAGCCCCATCAGAGTTCTTGAGCCATTTTGTCACTTGGAAGAAAATTGTATACCTTCATATTTATTTAAAGAGTGCTCCAGGCCATACCTAATAGCAATAAATAGGTCTAGCCAAGATCTGGCTCTGTTATTAGCTGGGAGTGTGCTCTATGACCTGTTAAGGTACTGATAGGAATGTTTTGTTCTTAATATTGTTTGGGGATTGGAGTTTTGTTGTTGTACATTTATTTCAAGTGAGGAGGAGATCATTTTTCTTTAAAAAATGAGTATTTATTATGTCTTACTGATTTCTTTGATTATATACCTCTCCTCCTTAGTTCATTCTCATGTTTTTGTTTTTGTTTTCTCTCTCTCTCTTCGGTTTCTTTGGCTTTTGCTGTCACTCCATTTTTTTTTTTTTACCGTGTTGCATTGGTAGAGCTCTGTATGGCTAGCATTGTATTGTATATAATTAATTTTGCACAAAGGCAAACATTTAGCATAGTAGGTTAATTTTGTTTGTTTTTATGACCATGCCAAAATAATATTCTGGGCTGGTGGAGAACAAAGGACTGTTCTTTAGGACTGAAACTTGATTTTGCTTGTAGTAAGAAGAAGAAGAAAAAAAACAAAAAACACACACACTCACAGATGTTGTTTCGTAAGTGTTATAAGCACTGGATATAAATGGTATTTTTTATCACTTCTGACTAATGTGAAACTGTTGTACGAAAACTACACAAACAAAAGTCATCTGTTTCGACTCGTGTGGGCTTGCCTCACAGTTGCCGGATTTGAGTCATTTTTATGTCTTGTTATTTCATTTATTTATGCAAAATACATGTGTGTATGAACACTTTGTTTTAGCTCCAGCTCTGCCTCAGTACAGGGGTTCAGTAACTTTTAGCTATGTCCTTCAAAATGAAAAGCTATTCAGGACTGATCTGATTGTAAACGCCCCTTTCATTGGCTCAGACAGACAGTAAGGCTGTATCTGAATCTAAATTTTGTGCATACACAGCTTATTCTATTTATTAGCCAAGTTTGGCTCTAAATATCCATGGGAAAGAAGAATGACAATCATAGGGATTACTTCATTTTATTTCAGTGGGGCTTAAACAAAGTTCTTATGACTTTACCATCTCATTTTAGATTTTTTTCTAATTGTGTAAATATAACATAGAAATAGAATTTATTTTTGGTTCATGAATTCTTGGTGAGAAATAAGTTATATGTTTCCTTTTTTCTGTTCTCTGTCCGTATGTGTTGGACTATGCTAAAGGCGGATGTATTTCTGTGCCTTCTAGGTGCAGGGACTCAACTCCCATGAGGGCAGGTAGCGGGCAGCCTGCAGCCCAGGTAGCACAGCCCCTCCCTCAGCTTCTTTGGCAGTTGGGAAACCCAGGTCCACAGACTCTTCCCTTACTTTCTTAGATTGATGAATTGCACGTTCTCCATTTCCAGTTTGGCTAGGAGAGAGTCGATTTGCTTGGTGAACCCACAGAAAACCTGTGTTGTGTGATCATTTCATGGCAAGAAGCATGAGTTACCCATTTTAAAGGTAAAAATCTGTGTCTCTGACTGGCTATGATCAAAAACCCTGCCAAGCCAGTCAAAGAAGGTTAAGAAACTTTATTCAGTGTTTCCTGTTCCATAGTATCTTCAAATCAAAGGTCAAGAACTTACACATTAGGGTCTTCTTTGTCATCGGGAATAAGGACACTGGTAGACAATCCTCTCCTTAGAAAAAATGGGCCATATGGAAAAAGAAGGAAGGAAAGGAAAGAAGGAAGGAAGGAAGGGAGGGAGGGAAGGAGGGAAAGGAAAGGTTCATCTGCGGACATGAGCAACCAGGTCAGCAATTTCTTTACTTCACAGAAGCTTTGTTGTTGTCCCCGGTAGCTGGCTCAACCTTTCAGGAGCGCATCATCACTTTGCTCTATTTGGTATTTGATACCCTCTAGCCTTGTCCTCAAGCCTGATTTGATTTGCCAGGGTCCTAACATGGACTCCAAGGCCAATGTCTAAATTCAGGTGTGGGACTCACTGTGCTATTGAGCTTGTAAAATTCTGGCCTCCCCTGGACATGAACCCCACAGGGGCTGGGAGTGTTTGAAAGGGTGTGATGACTCTCAGGCTGAAATTAAAGGCTAAGTTCTTTGCTTAGGAAGCTAGGTGGTTCCTTTGGTTTTCACCCTCCTGAGCCAGGAGTTGCAGGCACTAGCTGAAAGCTTGGATTGTCTCCGGCCCCTTAGTGGCAAGGTGGCCTGGTCCCTTGAACACCACAGCTGAGGCAGCTGCTCTCAACTCATTCGTTTTGCAAAGAGTTGATTTCCACCAACTCCTTAGGGAAAGGGGGAAAAAAGAATCACTTCATAGTTTTCAAACCTACAAGAAGTCCTGCACCAAGTGCCAACAATTGCAAAGAAATGCAGCTAGAGGAATGTATTTAAATGACTGGGTCTTCCTTTTTTAATGAGCAAGTGACAGAAATGGTGGCTGTGGCCTTGCCTAATGTTGTACACATTGGTCCAAGGCTTGAGTTGGCACTTGAGCTCACTTCTCAAAGTATAATAATATCATATGACCTCACTTGTCCTTTCACAAAAGCACTTGCCTCATTTCCTTAAGCCATCTGTCCCTGACGTGTTTTCTCCCTTAATAAACAGCTCTGTTATTCCTGCCAATCACGTTCTGTTTCTGATGCCATATACTACCCTGTGCTAATATTGATATGCAAACACATTTCCCTCTCACCCCCAGCCCATTGTTTACCTTGCAGAAGCTCATGAACAAGTACTGGGAATGCCAGTACCTTTAGGGCAGAGTGAGGGGGGGTGGGTGAGGTAGGGGCTAAAGGTCTGGCTTCTGCAGGGGGCTTGCCCAATGGATGTGGGTGGCAACAGGAACACTTGAAAGCAATTTGGTGACATTTCTGGCTCACAGTTTCGTATTCCTGAAGAACCACAAGCAGATAGTGAGGCCTCAGTGCTGGTCCTCTTGGAGTATGGGGAATGTGCAAATATTTAACTGTCTAGTGTGCCGCACATTGCAGTCTGCTCATGTGCATTCTCCGTTTGTCTTCCTTTGTCATATGTGTTTTTGCTTTTTTTTTTGAAACTGCAGTCTTTATTGTATCCTTCTCCAGCTTGTTGCAAATTAGAATGCTTAGCATTTATGTTCATTCATTATTGTATTTGCCATGTAAAATTTTTTATTACCTTAGACAAGCTTATAAGCTGTTACTACATAACTTATCTTACTGTAACTCTTTTATTTCCCCACATTGTAATTTGTTTGTAATGTATATTGTGAGATTGTATTCTATGTTAATTTAATCAGCACAATTCACTGACATGCTGGACTGACATGCTGGCTGCTGTTTCAAAGTGTAAAGTTTGTGTAGGGCTGTTGGGACAACCT